GACAAATCCTTTAAATAGATGGAACTATGGGTCTGGTATATCACTTTCCTACTCATCAGTATTTCTACAGTGGAAAGCCTTCATCTAATTTAGAATGTCTGGAGATTGCCCATGTTTACACCAGATGCCTGAAAACTCTGAATTTTTGTTCGTAACTAAAGCTGAATATACTCCCTGGAGCCCATCAAGCAATCAATATAAATTAGTGAGATGACCTTGGATTTATGAGGAAAAAGTAATATAACGGTAATAGTTATTCTAACACTGCCAGGGGTTCATTTCTTAGGATGATTTATCACCATATTTTATTTTTAATTAAAATTTTTGTGTGTATTCTTGGGCCACATCAGGCTATGCTCAGGGGTTTGTCCTGTCTCTGCTTTTAGGAATTACTGCTGGTAGTGCCCAAGGGACATATGGGGTGCTGGGGATCAAACCCAGGTCAGCTGCATGCAAGGCAACCTTCCTAGCCACTGTACTATGGCTTCAGCCTCTATCACCATATTTTTAAAACACATTGAAAATAGGGGCTCTCTTTCCCATGTTCTCTTAGTTTCAATTTAGAACCACTGTAGCAAATTCAGTAAAGTCACATGAAGTAAAGCTCAGTGAGTCTTCCAAGGAAAATACCCATTACGGAAGCATGTAAATGCTTGACTCCACTCTAGGAGCCTTCGTGCTAGTGCTCCCGAGTCTGAAATGCAGTGTGCTAGACCCAAATTGTTCTCATCTTTGATGTAAGAAAGGTGACACTGAACCTAAGCAAAAGGTGGAACCAGCTCCTTATGTGAAGCCTTGTAGGAAGTTCCTTCTAGTTGGTATTTACCAAAAATCCTTAATTTATTTTGACCAACATTAATAATAGAAAATCTGTCATAAAGAAGCAGAGGAACTAAGTTTCTGTCATCTAGTTGAATACATGTTGCTGTTTTTCGTTTTACTTTTTTATTTTTTATTTTTATATTTTGGATCACACCTTGCACTGCACAGGGGTTACTCCTAGCATGTGCACTCAGGAATTACTCCTGGTGGTGCTCAGGGGACCATATGGGATGCTGGGAATCGAACCTGGGTTGGCAGTGTGCAAGGCAAATGCCCTACCCACTGTGCTATCACTCTAGCCCCCGTTCTTGTTGTTTTTAAAGTTTTATATAGATTTAATATACTACATTTGATGCTTATACACATATACTCTACATGTACATTTTTAATATTTACACATACATATTATGAAATAATGAAATTTAGCTATCATCCAAAATGAATCATGTTTGGTTTTTGTTTTGTTTGTTTTGGAGTTGCCACATATCATACCCAGGGCCTCATAAATGCAAATCAAGGGCTCTCCAACTGAGCTGTAACCCTGGGTCCCAGAATGAAAACTGTTTAAATCATTGTTTGGGCAATAGTATACCTAGATCTATTAACATAGGTGACAATAATAAATGGAATAATGTACCAGTGGTTTTCTGGATTGGTTTTAAATTCTGGCAAGCATTTTTGTTTATACTTTTGCTTCTACTTTTCAAAAGGTAGATAGAGGGGGCAGGACTATATATGATAGGGAATAAAAACATTTGATCTAGGTTGTTGGTTTTTCCCCCCCTTTTTTGGGCCATACCCAGCGATCATCATCATCCTGGCTCTGCACTCAGGAATTACTCCTGATGATGCTCAGGGGACCCTATGGGATGCCGGGGATTGAACACGGGTCGGCTGCGTGCAAGGCGGATGCCTTACCTGCTGTACTATCGCTCCAGCCCCTTGTTTAGGGTTTTATGGGTCAAATTTGCATTCTTCCATGTCTATGCTCAAATATGAATTCTGAGTTTTTTCTTTAAAACAATAAAATTCAATTTATATGGCATTTCAACACCATTAAAAAATTGGGGGCACTTCTGGTAGTGTATAGCACTTCATCCTGACAGTGCTGAAGGGTCCCATTTGGAGCTCCACTGATAAAACTCTGATTGAACACATGAAAGGCAAATGCCACTGTACTATCGCTCCAGCCCCTCAACTGCATAATTCTTGTATTACCCAGGAAGATGAGTAAAGAACTTTGTTATTTGTTTTATATTACTTGTCACATTACATGTATAGCTGTTTATTCTGATTTCTGTTTTCCAACTAAGCTGAGCTATTTGAGACTGTGCTTGTCCCAGTGTCTAGCACAGTGCCTTCATGGAGTTGGCACTCTGCAAGTTTTTAATGAACCATTCAGTGAAGAATGACTTCCTAAATATGTAATGGAAGGTCACAAGGAGTTATATGATAGAAAGTCATAAGGCTAACAATTTAAAATATTAGAAGGTTACGTGTAAATACAAAGGAAGGGAAAACATTGAGTAACATGGTTAATTTTTTTTTAATTTTATTGAAACACCATTAGGTACAGTTGTAGATTTACAAATTTTTGTGCTTGGGTTTCAAGTATACAATGATCAAACACCCATCCCTCCACCAGTACCCATATTCCACCACCACGGGTCCCAGTATCCCTCCCACCCCTCATTCCCCCATCCCACCCTGCCTCTGTGACAGGGTATTCCCTTTTGTTCTCTCGCTCCTTTTGGGTGTTGTGGTTTGCAAAAGAGGCATTGAGTGGCATTCATGTTTGGTCTATAGTCTACTTTCAGCATGCTTCTCCCAGCCTGGGAGGATCCTCGCAGCACCCTTTATTTGGTGGTCCTTTCTCTGTCTGTGCTCTCTTTTCCCCTAGCATGTGTGGCTGGCCTATAAACCATGGAGCAAGACTCCTGGTACTAATCTTGACCACTCTTGGGTGTTAGTCTCCTATTTTGTTACTTTATGTTCCCCAGATGAATGCAATCTTTCTATGTCTGACCCTCGATTTCTGACTCATTTCGCTTAACACGATGCTTTCCATGTAGTACCACTTGTATGTAAATTTCATGACGTCCTCTTTTCTAACAGCTACATAATACTCCATTGTGTAAATGTACCAAAGTTTCTTTAACCAGTCATCTGTTCTCGGGCATTGAGTAACATAGTTTAGAAATGTCTATTTTGATGCAGAAATCCTTATTTTGGTAGAAAAGTGTGGTATAGAATGAGTAAATAATATGAGACTATTAAAGCATGTTGAAAGTCATTCTGGTAAAAATCTTGCAGATATCATGATTTGGGGAAGCATGTACCATTAGGAACCACACAACATCTACTTCTATAATATGCCATAAGTACGCTTTATTTCCGATTACCATGTAGGGAATACAGATATTTCCAGTTTTCTAATAAAAGAATGCAAAGTGTGTGCATCAACAGTAGATTTGCTTTTTTTCCACCATAGTTCTTCTGATGTCCTATTTTTATTTTAGCACTTGTGTATTTTTTAAAAAAACTATTCAAGATTTTAAGATTTTTTGATATTTACATAATTTAAAATATTAAAATAAATCACAGAAGCTTTAAATGCACAGATTAAATTCTTAATACATCTTATTATAAATATGAATTGGACTTGATGATTTATACATCTTTAAAAATTCTTTATTATGGGCCAGGGAGATAGTACAAGGGTTAATGAACTTGACTGAAACATGGCTGACCACTGTTCAATGCATAGCATATGGGCTCCTGAACACTGCCAGGAGTGACATCAGAATACAAAGCCACAAGTAATCCCTCAGCATAGTCAGATGTGGTCTAAACACACACATACACACACACGCACACAGACACACACACATACACATACAAATAGTAACAGTATAAATTAAAGCAATCAGGTTTTTTAATGGCTTCATTTGAAAATCACATTTAGTCATGTATGAGTAATTTAGAGAGAAAAATTGATAATATCCTATTTTCTAACTCTTAACTATTATGTTGATGATCATTCATGAATAAATTTTTGCATTTCAACTTGCATCTGTGCACAAATGAAATGAGGAGTGACTAATGAGTCTTATCTCACGCCAAAATCATATAGAATGGAAATAAGTTGCATGAGTCTGTGATTCAAATACAATTAGAAATAATATTTCTACACTAGAACACCAGGCTTCATATAGGTCATAATGTAAACAACTTAATGTGAATGTTTACTTATGTTGTTTAATGAGCCTTGTTTATTTAATAGATTCCTTGATTCCTACATAATTTATTTGATGTTTTTGTGCACCCCGAATTGTTGGGAAGTCCTTTCCCTTTACCCTGCTCCCTGGCCAGTAGTGAGTAAGCCATGGCCTTGACCAAGCTGCCCTCTCTCCTGTCCTCGCTCTACAGGCCTGGTGGGAGAAGAGGAGTGGGTGCTTGTGGTTTCGTTTTTGTTGTTGTTGTTGTTGTTGTTGGGGGGTGTCTGGGAGTTTAAAATTTGATCTGGAATCAGTACATTACGGATTCTGGCAAATGGTCAATGTAAACTTTCCCCACCCAGCCCCATTCTGGTTCCTGTGCCCATAGCCTTTTACCCTAGCACCCTTACAGCTTCCTCTGCTGCCCATATCTCTCCCCAGGTCCCTTTAAATGGAAAGGGAAGGAGAGGAGGGGAGGAGGACCTTGCCCCTCCTCAGGCATCTAGGAGAGCACTGCCCATGGGCTTCACCCTTTCCTGAGGGCACTCTCCCTGACACATTTGTTAAAATCAATCCTGAATAAATCTACAAGTTTAATATGAAAACAATTTCCCCCAGAATCAGCAAAGCACTGCAGATAGTATAACACACCATGATTCTCTAAAATGCCATGAATTTTGCTATCCATATAATTTCTTTTATGACCACTATTATCTCCCAAACAGTTAAAAGAAGTAGAATGACACTAACATTAAATAAAAAATACTAAGTTACTTTTATTCTGAGATTCCGGTTTTTCTTAGCATCTCAATTCAGATTAAGGATTAAAAAATTAATTAGAAAAATTAATCATATGAAATTTTCAACTTGCTCTTTTTAAATATTTATTAGATTTTTTTAAATTAAGAAGTATGTTTTTATTTTTATGATTCTACTATTTCTGTCACTTTCTTATTGCAGGTTTTTAACACATACTCCAATGAAGACTATGACAGGAGAAATGATGAAGTTGACCCTGTGGCTGCTTCAGCTGAGTATGAACTTGAAAAGCGTGTAGAAAAGCTGGAACTCTTCCCAGTGGACTTAGAGAAAGGTATATGCGCTTAGCAATATTTATATGCATTATATTGCTATATTAATAGCACCAAAATACTTTGCCGCATCACTTGTTTTTTTTCTACAGACTAAGATTTAATTCTTACGGAGAGTCTTTACTTATTTTATTTAATTTTTAAAAAGCTTGATCAAGAAGAGCCTGAGTGTGCCCTGAAGTTCTGTTAGTAAATCTGAAAAGATTTGGAGCAGGTGAGGGGGATGGAGATATAGCACAGTAGTTTCAGACACTCTCCATGCATGTAGCTTTCCTCAGTTTGATGCCCAGCCTTTCTGTAGTACCCCAAGCATAACTAGGTGTGATGTCTGAGAACAAAGCCAGAAGTAAGCCCTAAGCCCAGACAGGTGTGGCCCAGATGTTGCTATAGTAGTTATTGTTTATGGAAGGAGGGTTGTCATGGTTAGGCAAAAATGTAGTAGGTAAAGGCAGTGGTTGACCATTAGAAACCATTGTCCTCATCTCACAATTCTCTTCATTTCTGAGAGATCCAAATCTTTTCAGATTTGCTAACAGAACTACAGAGAGTAGGGGCGGTCAGACTAAAGGGACTTCTTCCTGATTTCTCTTGGTGGAATAAAAGCCAGACTGCTGCACAGGTGGACGTCAGGATCAGAGACTACTATTTATATCATGTCAGATGATAATACTGACTTAGAAAATACATTCCTGATAAACTTAACAGTAACAACAAAATTACTAATTTTAAAATGAAAAAATCAATATTGCAGTTGAAGAGAAAAGGATGATTGGTTGTTTCTGCGACTCAACTAGTAAAATGTAAAACCTACGAATTCTCCTAAACTCTCAAATAACAAAGCAAAAATTCTAAGAAACATCATGCAGGAAGTTCAACATGTAAATTTTAGATATTATTAAGAAAAAAATAATGGGGAAGACACTATTAGATAATAAGAGAATATTGTCCTGAGCTGAAAAAACTAATGATGGAAATCTTCAAAAATACCAGACCAAATAAAAGCAAACAAAATTTAAGCAAATGTAATCAGAAAGGCAAAATTAATAGACTAGCATAGAATTTATCAATTTATCACTGATAGATGGGAAACATACATATCATTTTGTACACATTGAGAACAAAAAAGAATTAGTTAAGCCAAGAAACTTAGGCATCTCAGAGATTTTGTACCTATTCTGCTGAAAAAAATTTGCTTACATATATAAAAGTAATCTTTTATATATCACTTGATAACTTGATCACTTGACTTCCTGTTATTCATTGATTTGCTTGAGCAGGCGCCAGTAACTTCTCCATTTGTCCCTGTCACGTGCTAGTGCAGCCCAATGGCGTCTGTTTGTTCTAGGAACAGGAAGAGCCTCAAACTGATCGTTCAGGGTCTTGACAAAGTAGTCTGACCATCATGCAGGTGGGCAGCCATGCGTTCTTTTGACGTTCTGTGGAATCCAGTCGGTAACAGCTCTAGTCCAGCGGTTGTCTCCAAATCTCATTACGTGTCCAGCCCATCTAGATTTTCGATGCCTTGGCAAACAAGACAGCGTCCCCGATTATTTATTATTATTATTATTATTATTATTTACTTATTTATTTGTTGAATCACCGTGAGAACAGTAACAAGCCTTTCAGTTCAAGTCTCAGTAGGTCATACAATGATCAAACACCTGTCCCTTCACCAGTGCACATTTTCCACCACCAAGAACCCCAGTGTTCTCCCCCTCTCACCTACCCCCCAGCTGTGTGGCAGATGTCCACTTTACCCTCTCTCTCTACGTTGATCACATTCAATATTACGACAAAAGACCCACCACTGTTATTTAGAATTTTCCCCAATATCCTGATTCTTGACCATGGATGGAGGTCGGAACTCCGGATTCTTTCTCTCATTTGAGTGAAACGTGATACTCCAAGCATAGCTCTTTCAATTCTTCTTTGGGACACCCAAATACTGTTCTCCTCCTGTAGAGCCCAAGTCTCTGAGGCATATGCTAATGCAGGAAGAACAGCGGAATAGAAGAGATGTGCCTGGAGCTGGAGGTTCTTAATCCTCTTAACTATTTCTTCAACGCTCTTGATGGCGTTCCAAGCCGCTTTCTTCCTCCTGTGCAACTCAGGTGCCAGATCATTCATCATGTTGACTTCTCGACCTAAGTACACGTAACTGTTGTATTCGGAGATGGTCATTTCGTTGGGAGCGAATGGAACATCAGGAACGAGACTGTTTCTCATAAACGTCTTTGTGAGATTCAGCTGGAGTCCGACCTTTCCACACTCATGGTCGAAGTCAGCCAGCATTTGTGCCACTTGGCTAATGTTTGGTGTTATTAGAACGATGCCATCAGCAAAGCGGAGGTGGTGTAGTTGCCGACTGTCTATCTTCACTCCCATTCCTTCCCATTACAGTCATTGCATGTCGTTCTCAAGGGTGGCACTGAAGAGTTTCGGTGAAATGGTATCACCATGCTGAACCCCTCTCTTGAAATGGATGATCACTTCTTTGTAGAATGGTGAGATCCTGGTAGTGAATCTGTAATACAGCTCACGGAGGATCCAGATGTATTGAATTTGAACGCTATGATTGGCTAGGGCTTCAATGACTGCTTCTGTCTCAAAGGCCTTCTTTAAATCAATGAACGTTAGATAGAGCAGCATCTTGAACTCCCGAGAAACCTCAGTGAGATTGGTTATCATGTGGATATATGGTCAATATAAAAGATTAAGTTCATCATCTACATTTCCACTGAGTACTTTACTTCCCTTTTAGCAGGTAGTTAAAAAGAAAGAATAACTTGTTTAAAACTGAAAAGATTAGGGCAAAAGTGTTGGAAATGAGAAACAAAAGTGCTTGTGTATTTTACTTCTAAATTACTTCTAAAATTTTTTATTTATTTTTATGAATCTCATGTTTTTTAGTTTTATATACATTTTTGCTTCGAGTTCACACACAACTGTACTTATGGATTACTCCTGTCTCTGTGCTCAGGGATCACTCCTGGTAGTACCCAGGGGGAACCATTTGTAGTGTGGGATTCAAATTCTAGTAACTGCACGCAAAGAACACTACTTACACCCTTGTACTATCTCTTCATTTCCCCACATTGCTTGTTTTTATTTTTTTTTTCTTTTTGGTCACATCTGGCAATGCACAGGGGTTACTCCTGGTTCTGCACTCAGGAGTTACTCCTAGTGGTGCATACCGGATGCTTGGAATCGAACCCGGGTTGGCCACTTGCAAGGCAAATGTGCTACCCACTGTGCTATTTCTCCAGCCCCCACATTTCTTGTTTTAAAATGTATAACATGAGATTTGTGTTCGGGCATTGTGTACCTAAACCTTTATTGTTGTGGATACATATGTATGTCATGGTTCTGAAATTATTAAAAATTTGAAAAAATTGCAAAAGAATATTGGTCACTATAATAAACATGACTGATTATTCTCCTTAAAACACATTTTCATTTGAGATTAAACAGACTTTAAGAGTTAAATGGTTTCATTCATTCCGAAATGTAAAAATCAATCACAACAATGGTCTATATGAAAGCAGCTAAATTTGGGTCCAGAGCAATAGTATGGTGAGTAGAACACTTGTCTTGCATGAAGCAGACCTGGATTTTATTCCCTAAACACCCCATAGGGTTCCCCTGAGCCTAACAGGAGGAACTCAGTGCAGAGTCTGCAGAGTCTTGAGTAAGTCCTGAGCACTGCCAAGTGTGCAACCAAAATAAAAAATAAATAAACAAAAGCAGCTAAGTTTGACTGGTGGGTTAATATATTATTTATAGTAAAGAAAAAGTGTTGCAACAGTATTGATTAAAGTAAAAATAGTCTAAAATTCATCAGTTATAAAAAAGGTTCTATAAATTCTAGTGTATCAATTGTATGAAATACTACTCTGCTGTGAAAATGAAGAATCCCAGTTTGATGCTCAGGATGTATGATTCTTACAAAGATAAAATTGAGGATATGAAGCAAAACAAATCACAAAAAAAAAAGTTTGTGCAAGCCAGGAAAAAATGAACAGTACATTGTTTAGAGATATACAAATTAGTAGTTTTAAAAAGCAATATTAAAAAGATGGAGTGAATAACGTAATATTTAGATCATGATAAACAAGGGAAGAATCATGATATCAGGGATGGGTATATTGTGGGTATGTATGTAATGTTTATTGCCTTTGTTACTACACCTGTTTTGTTGTTGTTACTATAATTTGGGGGTATGTTTTCCACTGTGACCGCATCTTTTATTTTCATTTCTACCCATGACGCATAAGATTTTTCTTTTCTCTGTAATCTTAACAAGATTCACTATCTCTTCACTTTTTATAATTAGACATTTGACAGCTGTGAAGTGATATTTCATTATGGTTTCAAATTGTGTTTTCATAACAGTTAACAATATTGATCACCTTTTCATGTACTTCTATAACATCATATTTGGCAAAATGTCTATTCAGTTCCTCTCATCATTTTATTTATTTATGTTTTGGCGACACCCAGCAGTGCTAAGAACTCACTCCTAACTCCTTGTGGGGCTTCAATAGACCGTATGGGGCACTGGGTTGGCCATGTGCAAGGAAAGTGCTCTATCTGCTGTATTATCTCTTCAGCCCCATCCTCTGATCATTGTTAACAATATATTTGTATACCACAAATATTTATACCATTTTAGATTTGAAAATATTTCTTCCATTTCATGTGTCACCCTTTTATTCTGCTGATGGTTCCTTTTTCAGTGCAGAATTTTAAAATCCTATTTGATACAGTTCCTCTAGATTATTTTGACTTTTATTGTCTTTGTGCTAAATCCAAAAAGACATTGCCAAAACTAATGTCATAGAGTATGCCAAAAAGTTTTCTTTTATTTTTAAAGTTTTCTATTATTTTTAAATTATATTTTTTAAAAAATTAATTTAGTTTGGGCTTATTTTTGTATATGTTGTAAGGTGGTGATTTGGCTTATTCTTTTGTATGTGACTATTCCAATTTTCTAAGCACCATT